GTCCTGAGGACTAAGTGAGGCATGGTGTGAAAACTGTGTGGCTATTTTGAGCACTTCACAAATGAGCACTCTCCTTCTCATTTTGAAAGCATGCTTTTCAAAATGCCTTTGTGGGTGTTTTATTTATTTAGTAAAAGGTCACACCCTACAGGACAGGAAAGCTAATGGCTGTGAGGAGAGCCCCACCTTGACTGAGAAAAAGACGGATTAGACAGCTGGACTAATGCATAGGGTTCCCAAACAAAATGCTGGATCAACAGCTTTTAGCTTATTGAGTAGGATGTTAAACCAAAAAAACCTGTTGCCGTTGGTTTGCTTCCGACTCATAGCAGCCCTATAGGACAGGGTAGAACTGCTCCATAGGGTTTCCAAGGCTGTAATCTTTATGGAAGCAGACTGCTACATCTTTCTTCCTCAGAGCAGCTGGTGGGTTCAAACTGCTGACATTTCAGTTAGCCAATTGCTTAGCCACTGCACCACTAGGGCTTCTTACACTAGGATGTTAAAAACCATTGCCATTGAGTTGATTCCGACTTATAGCAACCCTATAGGACAGGGTAGAACTGCCTCATAGGGTTTCCAAGGAGCAGCTGGTGGATTTGAACTGCCTACCGTTTAGTTAGCAGCCGAGCTCTTAACTACTGGGCCACCAGGGCTCCAGAGTAGGATGTTAGGGCCTGGCATTTTTCTGAAGAAGTCCGTAGAATATGAATCGATCTCTCTCAGCCCATACATTTTCCCCTTTATTTCTTTGGTGTTAAAAACGTCGGTGTCAAAACTGCCCTGCCCATGCGCTCTCCGTTTCCCCCATTCCCACGTCTCAGTCATCTAGTGCTGCTGTAACAGAATCACCACAAGTGGTGGCATTAACAAATAGAAGCTTATTCTCTCACAGTCTAGGAGTCTAGAAGTCCGAATTCAGGATGCCAGCTCTAGGGGAAGGCTTTCTCCCTCTGTGGGCTCTGGAGAAGGTCCTTGTCTCTCTTCAGCTTCTCTTCCTTGGCTCCTTGGTGATCTTCATGTAGTCTGGCATCTGTCTCCCCATCTCTGCTTCCTTCTCTGCCTGATCAGCTTGGTTTATATCTCAGAGATGATTGGCTTAAGACACACCCTATGCTGATATGGCCTCATTAACATAATAAATAAAACCTTATTCTCAAATGGTATTGCATCCACAAGTATAGGGATTAGGAATTACAGTACATATTTTGGGGAGACATAACACCATCCCATGGACACTTAGACTTCCCTCCCCTCCCACCCATCCCAGTCACTAGGGCTATCCTCCTCATTTCCCTCATACCCCACCTTCTGCTTCCAATCACTTCTGTCTCCCTTTTCTCCGATGCCCTTGACGTTTCCTCTTAAGCATTGATTACCTCCCACGTGCACATTGAGACTGGAGCCAAGCCCAGGATCTCTCCCCTTTCCTAGACGTTGAAGGGAAAGGGACATAGAGGCTAGATCAGTTCATTGCCTCTTCCAACATGCGTAGCACTGCATGAGGACCTGACCACACACACATGCAAGACCCACATATGCACGTAAGCACGCGCACACACACACACACACACACACATTGTTTTCACACCCACAACAACCATCCACAGTTTACAGAGGAGGGCATGGGAGGTTGAAGAGATTAACAAACTCACTAAACTTCACACTGCATGTAAGTAGGCTCTGAAATTCAGACCGAGTCTGCCTGATTCCAAAGCTGAGGTGCTATCCGTTATAGCACCCAGCATCTTTGATGGAGAAAGGACAACATCTTAGATCAACTGTCATGCAGACAGGGTCCTGTAAGGGAATTGTTGGCATGGGGTACTTTTAAACTTACTAGAAAAAAAAATGTCTGCAATGAGAATGGGTTGTCTATCTGCTCTTGGAACCAATTCCGTTATCTAGATGTGGCAGTGGGTTGATTTGGGTCAGACCCACCTGGAAGGAAGAACAGACTTTCTAGCATATATTGCAAAAATATCTGTGTATTTGAGTGTCCTTGGGCACATGCAAGAAGCCCTGGTGGTGCAGTGGTTAAAGTGTTCAGCCGCTAACTGAAAGATTGGTGATTTGAATCACCAGCCACTCCATGGGAGAAAGATGTGGCAGTCTGCTCCCGTAAAGTTTACAGCCTTGGAAACCCTATGGGGCAATTCTCCTCTGTCCTACAGGGTCGGAATCAACTCGACAGCAATGGGTTTGAGCACGTGCCGTTACTGAATTTCTCATGGGTGTGGCTCAGGAGTTGAATGATTTTTCCAACACATTTTCTCTACCATGTTGAACGGGTTTAGGAATGTAGTAATCTGAATACTTATCCAGACCCACAAATAGAAGGGATACTGGTGCATATGGAATTTTTGTTCTCAAATGAAAGAAGCGTTGTCTTTAATTAGATTCACAAGTAGAACACTCCTTTCAATGTTGTTTCCAGTTTTCATCACATGTACAATATAATTACAGACATTTCTCTGATTTTAACTCATTTTAGTGTCCAGCAAAGCCCTTGTCAACTGCTTTCCCGACTGTTTTGCTCTTAATTTTTATTCACCTCTTAGAAGAAAAGTCGTTGTTGTTAGCTGCCATCAAGTTAGCCCCAACTCATAGTGATCCCACAATCACTTGCAGATCAGACAGTTATGATCCATAGGGTTTTCACTGGCTAATTTTCAGAAGTGGATCACCAGGCCTTTTTTCCTGGTCCATCTTAGTCTGGAAGCTTCATTGAAACCTGTTCAGTATCGTAGCAACATGGAAGCCTCCACTGACAGACAGGTGGTGGCTGCACATGAGACATATTGGTCAAGAATCGAACCCAGGTCTCATGGAAGACGAGATTTCTGCCAGTGAAATAGTTGTTATTTGCTGGTGAGTTGGTTCTGACTCATGGTGACCTTGTATATTACAGAAGAAAACATTGCCTGGTCCTGCACCATCCTCACAGTCTTTGGGATGTTTGAGCCCAGTGTGGCAGCCAGTGTGCCAGTCCATCTCACTGAGGGTTTCCGTTTTCACTGACCTTCTGCTTTACCAAACATGATGTCTTTTTCTAGTGATTGGTCTTTCCTGATGATGTGTCCAAAGTAGAGCACCTCTTAAAGTATTTAAATGGGGGAAGGATACCTAGAGTTATATTTCTGAGCCCTTAAATATTAAAAATCTCTTTCTGGTGTCTTTACACATTAGTGATGGACAAAAATCCAAAGATTGTAACCTTGTGCTTCAGAGTCCCTAGCCTTGGCTTGTTGTCTTCTAGCTTTAATGTCACATGGGAAAGCCTCTGCCAATAAGAGGTAGTTTCTTTGATGATAATAGTAACTCGATATTTTTATTTTAGTCTGTATACACAAAGGATTCATTACTCTTGGTATTCAAGATATCTCCAGAACATGCTTAGGAATAGATCTTGGTTCAGTAATTCGGCCTGGTCACTTTGTTTTCTTCCAGTCGCTAGACTTAATTTTGCTGGTGCTTCATTTCATTTTGTTTTGAATTATCTTATGTAGGCACTTTGTAAACCTGAATGAGGACTCTCTGCCTCTCTCTTCCTCTCCATTTCTTCCTTTGATCTTCTCTTCCCTTTCTTCTTCCTTCCATCACTGAGAGACAACTCCTAGGTGGTACCCATTGCTGGCAGCCACCAGAGTCTGTCAACCCACAGACTTACTCTATAAGTAACAAAGCAACTCTACTTTTTCTTCTAGGGAATTTTGTATTTTCTTTTGTATTGCAGAAGGGAGAAAATCCATTAATTTTGAAACAAATGTATGCAAATACATTTATTAATATAGGAAATAAGAAAATCAGTTATTGCTTCCTTTATAAATAATACAGGCTTAAGTTTTAAAGATATTACTTTTCCTAAAATGCATTAGACAGCTATGAAAAAAATAACATTTTTCTTTGTGGTAATATCTTTAACCAGGTTTGTAGCACTAACAATATTTCCTATGTATATATTATTTTTATTTAATACAGGTAATCTTTTTATTACCAAATCATATTGTTTCTCAGGAGATTACCATCAATGCTCATAAAAGCTGCAAAAGAAAGAAGGGATGGTGAGAAGGCATCAATCACTGGCAGATGTAATGCTCCATCTGCAGATTAAATACACAAAGCTCTTAATATGCTTCAACGAGTGCCTCATTAGGTGCAGATTTATTTTGACCCCTCCGCCATTCAGCTTCCATTTCAATCTGAATTTGATGGTGGACATCATCACCTAGTTTCAGCCGAGAGCAAAGCAACCTTGGGAAAAAGCCATGTCTTTAAGCTTCCCGTGCACTGTGCTTTGCTGAGACCCCAGAGGTAATGGAGTCTCATGGTGACCTTGGCCCTCTGCAGAGAATGACTGAAGGATCTCACTTGATCCTCTGGTCTCACCGGGGAAATTGCTGGTCAGGCCTTGGCCAGCGGGATTCCCAAGTGTGGCCACCTCAGATGTGTGGTAACTTCTCCCCTTTCAGAAGCAGTGACCACACACAGCAGATGAAGCTTGCCTAGATCCATGTCCATCTGAACTGGCTTTACCCCATGGTTCCCACAGTAAACTGGCACAAGGGCAAGGCATGGCCTTGGAGTTGCCTCCATGGGTTTGATCTCAGGTCTGCCATCTACTGCCTTGACCACTAAACTTCCAGGAGCCTCAGTTTGCTGGTCTGCAAAATGGAAATACCAATTCTTCCCTAATGCAACCACTGTCAGGATTAAAAGAGACTATCTATGTATGTACAGTGTAAAGTTCCAGAGAGTAACTGAGTGAATAAATGCATGAAGAACTATTCTCACACATGCATGAATTGATGAATATGTACGTAGGAGTAGGTAAATGAGTAAGTGCATTATATCTTTATGAAAGTATAACCCTCTGTACAGATGGCACATGGCAGGGATAAATGAATGGCTGAATGAATAAATGCCCACACAAGCTGTGCCTGTCCAGTCTGAAGGCTCAAGCCCATGCCCATGATCATGCCAGCCCCTTCTCCTCACAGGGCGGAAGCTTCGATGTGGCAGATAGAATGTTCCACAGTGTGAAGAATGCATGGGAGTCTGCCTCCAGGGAGAACATGAGTGACGTGAGGGAACTGACCCCGGAGTTCTTCTACCTGCCCGAGTTCCTAACGAACTGTAATGCAGTGGAGTTTGGTAAGTGAAGGGCCTGGGTGAGGCCAGGACAGAGTGGGTACCGTACAGGCCTCTTCTTCTGTCAGCTCTCTGTCAACCTTATCAGTGTCTTTGCTGAGCAAGTAAGTAGATAGATCCCTCAGAGTATGGAGTGCGGCTGGTGCGAGGCCACCACTGGGTGGCAGCACCAGGATGGAAGGCCAGAGACGTGGAAAGACCTGACCCAGGCCACCAGGAGAGCACTGAGCCATGGTACCCCAATGATCTTTCTTCTGAGCATCCCTAGGCCACAGGTCTGCAGAAAAGAAGTGACCAGCAGAAGGGACCTTGCTAATAGCCCAGGTCTGGTGCTGCTCCGGGCCCCCTTTTCCTCAGGGTGAAACAAAGGGGTTAGTCTGGACCTGAGGAGAGCGTGCTTCCAGGGGTGGCAGGCTGTCCTGAAGCAGATTGCCGCGTGGCCTCCAGGGGCAGTTGTACAAACATGGTGTGGCTCCTCCTCTTTCCTGCACTTCAGGCTCAGCTCCAGGGTGATCCATGCTTTCTTAGCGCTCTAGAAGAGGCACACAAAACCAGGAGGCCACAGTGGGCAGGTTCTCTGGTGATTACGTGGGCACCTCAGGAGTCTGCACTGACAGATGTCTGTGAGACCAAGTCAGGGTGACTCTAGGTGTGGGGTTGGAGCCTGGGGTAGAGGTTGAGCAAGCTCTCTGCGCAGAGGCAGGAGGTAGCTGCAGGCACTGGCCTGGGTGGGAGAAAGCCTCAGCCCCCAGCACTCCCTTCCTTGGGTCCCTCCTTCCTCCCTCCAGCAGCACACAAGGGCGTGCTCCCCAATCTAGCCACGGCACACTCCTCTTGTGCAAGGGTCTTCAGCCTGGATGTGTGGAGTGTTTAAAACAGATGCATACCAGGCCAGGCCCCTGTCCAGCGAGTCTGATTTCAGGATCTTGGCCGGGCTGGCCTTGGTAGTGTCCAGATCCTCAGACACATCAAGTGCGTCAGGGATGAGAACCAGACAAATATAAAAGGACAGTGATCACAACATGTGGCAGGGCCATGAAAGAAGTAATTCAGGGACTCTGGAAGCCAAGAAGAGGGGCAGCTCACCAGTCTGGCAGATCAGGGAAGCTTCCAGAGGAAGGAACACCCAACCGTGTTTGGGAAGTCACGTTGGGGTTATCTGTGGAAGAGGCGAGGGACACAGCTGTGAAATAACATCACATGCAGAGGATGGAGGTCAATCAGGCATTCAGGAGAGATTTGCTGCCCACTTACAATGCACCAGGCATTGAAGTTAACAAAACCAGTGTAGGCTCTGCTGTCTTGGGGTTTGTAGGTTAGGGGGGGAAACACAAAAAAGCAAGTAAGCAAACAGATAAGATTCTTTGTACTAAAATAAGGGATGTTGATTTCTATGTTTGTAAATAATCTAGTAAATGTTTAAACTTCTTATTTCCTTCTTCATTATTTATTCAACAAAACTGAATGGTCCAAGTGCCCGGATGAAAAGACATAATATAGTGGAAGGAAGGCCTGCAAACAGTGATGGTACTGTGATATGAAACTAAAATTGTTTTATAGAAATAGTGAATCAAGAATTAAGACTTCCGTGAAGCAGGGAGGGCCTCAGGGAGGAGACAAAGGCATAAAGGCCAAGTAGGGGTACTTCAGAGAGATGAGAGAAGAGGGCATTCCAGGCAGAGGAGGCCTGAACAATGTGGCCTAAGCAAAACACAGCTCACACCCTGGCCTAGGCAGAGTCAACAATCCTGGATAGCACTGTGTTTACATCTCTTAATTCCCAGCCAATTCATGTTTCCATTTATCAAAAGCCCCACTGTTTCTTGTCCCACTCAGGCTGCATGCAGGATGGGACAGTGCTGGGGGATGTGCAGCTCCCTCCCTGGGCTGATGGAGATCCTCGGAAATTTATCAGCCTGCACAGACAGGTAAGTCAAGCTGGGTCACTCTGGAGCCCCTGACTCAAGGGAAGGTATCCAGATACGAACCTCAGCCTCACCTCAGTCTCCATGGAGCCTTTCTATCCAAGTGGAGGGTTCACATCAAGCACTTCTCAGGCTCGTATGTCTGTAGAGCTTAGAGAAGGGCTGGAGTCTGTGCCCTAGGCTGGCAGAAAAAGGCCTGGGTCTGCCCTCTTTCAAGAGCTCCATTAAGGTTTACCCTTGTGCCAAGTTATTGTGGTAATCACTGGGTGAAGCAAGATCAGATTCTCCTTGGATTCCCTGGAGGGCAAGTCAATGCCCCTAGCCAGCCCTATAGACAGGGCCACTCCATGCTGCCAAGGATAGCCAAAAGAGGTGTTGGAGGCCCTGGAGGGCTCCTGCTAGCCAAAGATTTTGCCAAGACTGGGGAGGACTTAGCTTAGAACCCAGAATGGCAGATGTGGGTAGAAGCCAGAAGCTATTTTGGGACACTTGTCCTGGGTCAAATACCTGGGTTGGGATAAACACATGAAAAGATGTTTGGTATCATTAGTCATCGGCAAAACATGCACTAAAACCACAATGAGACACTACTAAACAGCCACAGTAATGGCTGAAATTAAAAAGACTGATAAAACCAAGTGTTGGTAAAAATGTGGAACAGTTGGAATTCTTCATACATTGCTGGTGGTAAAAACGAAATGGTACAGCCACTTTCAAAAACAATTTGGTAGTTTCTTATAGAGTTGAAGATACACTTGCCATATCACACATTAATTCCACTTCTAGGTATTTACTCCAAAGAAATGAAAATATGTCCACACAAAGAAATTGTACATGAGGATTCATTAGTTTTATTCATACTAGTCAAAAACTAAAAAAAAAGACAATGTCCATCCATCTGCTGGTGGATGGATGGATAAACAAATGGCATATCCACAACTCAGCAATAAAAAGGAACAAATTAATGATACATGAAACAATATAGATGAATCCCAAAAGCATTATCCTAAGTAAAAGAAGCCCCAAATGAAAGCTACATACTATGTGATTGCATTTATGTGACAGTCTAGGAAAGGTAAAACTATAGGGACAGAAAACACATCAGTGGTTACTAAGGTCTGGGGGGAGCCCTGGTGGCGCAGTGGTTAAAAACTTACCTGCTAACCAAAAGGTCGGCAGTTGGAATTCACCAGCCGCTCCTTGGAAACCCTGTGGGGCAGTTCTGCTCTGTCTTGTAGGGTCACTATGAGTTGGAATCGACTCGACAGCAACGGGTTTGTTTTGTTTTTTTTAAGATCTGGGGAAGGGAAATGACTGAAAAGGGGTACAAATTTTAAGTTACTGAAAATGTTCTATATCTTGATTGAATGCTGGTTGCATGATTGCATGCAATTGTCAGAACACATTGAACTGTACATTTAAAAATGGAGAAGTTTTTAATGTAAATTATACCTTAAAAAAGGTGCCCTGGTGGCGCAGTGGTTAAGCACTCATCTGCTAATCGAAAGGTTGGCAGTTCAAACCCGCCAGCCGCTTCATGGGAGAAAGATGTGGCAGTCTACTTCTGTAAAGATTTACAGCCTTGGAAATGCTAAGGGGCAGTTCTACTCTGTCCTACAGGGTCACTGTGAGTCTGAGTTGACTCAACAGCCATGAGTTTGGTTTGGTTTATACCTAAAAAGAAAAGAATTAGGGGCAGGTCTAAATAGTGACAAGAAACCTCTGACTTTTCCTCTGTCTGTCTCCTTGGCGAGGAGAAGATTCTTCCCTGATTTATCTTTGCCCTCTGGAAACCCAGAGATAGCAGCCATTCCTCCCACACTCCAGTGGTCTTGAGTACCTGGGCCAAGATGAACTTGATCTGCAGGCAACAGCAGCCCTCCCCCAAGGTGTTCTCAGAAAGACTCATCTCAGGTCTAGAGAGTCTGGGCAGGCCTCACTACAGGCCTGACTACAGGTGCCTATGAGCTAGTTGAGGAAATAGGCTAATTAAATAACCCTCCAAATTACAGGGAAACTGAAACCAAGAAAAGTGCTACAAAGGAAGGACACATGGTGCCGTGAGAGATGGTTTAGGGACATATGTGGACTAAGGGAAATGCATGGTGGTAAGAACAGTGGGGAGAGTTCTGCCGTGGAGCAAAGGTCTTGGAATCCAGGAAGTAAATGATTGATGTCAGTGAAACTAGTGGAGGAAGAGCCTCCAAAAACCCTCTCCTCCAGAAAAGCAGCAAGAACACTGGCAAAAATTGCCTAACTCAACTTTTTCAGAACTCTGAAAATTAACTAAAGGATTGCAGCAATCCAGGGAGTACTTATTGGAGAAAAAGGACTGAATCATTGTAAGAACAGCAGGTTTTGTGGTATTTTAACTTACTGTACTCCCATCTCCCCTCCAAGCTCCATAGTCACTTTGAAGATAAATAGTCCACAATCGCAGTGAAATCCAACAGCCTAACAGTCACTGGAAGGAGCAGAATGGAGTTGGCTCCCCTTCAAAGCCCTACTCCCAGAGAACTGCCTTTATTTCACCTGTCTGGTGGTTCCCTGGAATACCTCACTCACAAGGCTGTCTTTATTTGACCTGACTGAGAGCTAACCTAGTGCACACAACCTTTTCTCCAGCTACATTTGTTGAAAACAATCAGATGCAATTGTCTAACATGTGGCTGCCTGAGATGGTAGATAACAATTGGGGTAAACAGTAAGATAACCAAAAAGTTTAAAAGCAGAAGCTGGAAATAAGATGTCCATAGGAGGCTTTGAAAAACTCCAACACATTCCTGGGAATCTAGAAGACCACATGCATGTGTAGGGTGTTCTCATGTCTGAGGTCATGAGCATATTCAGGAGTGACCTAAGAAGACTCTAAGTTCTCACTTCTGATGACTAACCTTGAAGCTCTGAACAAGCAGGAAGTCCAGGATAAGGAAGAGTTTTAAACTGCCTGACTGAGTGTTGAAGGTATGCCCCAAAATATACACAGATACCCTTGGCAAAGAGTGGGAGACTTATTGATTCTAGACATTTAGGGAAATCTTTGTCCAATCATTACTTGACCACTAAGCTAATTGAGTAGAGACTTAAATGGCCACATTTAAGAAAGAAAACAGACTTTAACAGAACTAATGTAGAGAAGTCACTAAACATGCAAGCAACAAACAGAAACAACAGACAACAACAACAGTAAACCTCAGGGAGAGGGGAGTATCTGTCTTCCAGAGTTGTCACATTCTATTATTTTAAATGCCCAGTATTCAGCAAAAAAATTATGAGGCATGCCAATCAACAAGGTATGGTTCACACTCAGGAAATAAAGCAATCAATAGATATCCCTGAGGAAGCCCTAATGTTGGACTTACAACGACTCCAAATCAGCTCTTTTAAAAATGGTCAAAGAACTAAAGGAAACTATGTCTAAAGAACTAAAAAGAGCATAAGAAATAGAATCATAAAATATAGAATATCAATTAAGAGATTAAAACAAATAGAATTTCTAGATTTAAGGTAAAAAAATTGAAATGAAAATTCAGTAAAGCACATTTGAGCAGGCAGAAGGAAGAATTAGTTGATGTGAAGATAGGTCAATTGAGATTATCCAGTTTGAGAAACAGAATGAAAAAAGAAGTGAAGAAAAAAATGAACACAGCCCCAAAGAACTGTGGGACACCATAAAGTATACCAATATATGAATAACGGGAGCCCTAGAAGGAGAGGAGAAAGAGAAAGGGGCAGAAAGCATATTTGAAAAAATAATGGCCTAGAACTTCCCAAATCAATGTAAAGTTTTAATCTACACATTAAAGAAGGATAAATACACACCTAGGTACATCATAATCAAACTGTCGAAAGCCAAAGACAAATAGAGAATCTTGAAAGGAGCAAAAGAGAAGCAACTCATGTACAAGAGACTCTCAGTAAGATAAACCCGTTGCTGTCGAGTCAATTCTGACTCATAGCAACCCTACAGAACAGAGTCGAACTGCCCCACAGGGTTTCCAGGGCTGTAAATCTTTACAGAAGCAGACTGCCACATCTTTCTCCTGCAGACTGGTGGGTTCAAACCAACAAGATTTTGGTTAGCAGCTTAGCACTTTAACCACTGTGCCACCATGGCTCTTCTTAATAAGATAAGCAGGTACTTTCTCGTCAGAAACCATGGATCTTAGAAGGTATTGAGATGATACATTCAAAGTGCCGAAAGAAAAACACTGACAACCAAGAATTCTATTTCCACCAAAAATATCCTTCAAAAATGAAGGAGACATCAGATATTCCAAGATAAACAAAAACTGAGAGAATTCATCACTAGAAGACCTACCCTCCAAGAAATAATAGAGTCTTTGAGGCTGAAATGAAATGAAACGATGCCAGACTATAGCTTGAATCCACATGAAGAAATAAAGTGAATGATGATAAGGAAATGAAGACAGTCAGGGTAGATAGCAAAAATTTTGATTGTGGTGGAGGGAAGGTTATGGTTTTAGTTTTAAACTTTCAATGAGTATATTTAAGAGCCAATGGGAAAGACTCAACTGGAAAAAGAAGTTGAATATACATGAGAAGAAAAATAATTAATTCCTGAAAAAGCAGGAGGACTTGGAATCCGAAACACAGGTATGGGGTTAGCTTTAGGTAAGAGGAGGAACAGCTTCTTGACTTCAACAGGAGAAAAGGAGCGCAGGAGGATGCAGATAAAGGTGAGTTTGTATGTATTGTAAGAAGATGTGGGAGTTCCTAATTGCTGGCTTCTATTTTTCTGTGAAGTAGAAGGTATGATCAGGTGCTGAAAGTGGACAGTGGGGGAGCATCGTAGTTGAGAAGAGTGTAGGAAATATAAAGTAGTCATTGTGAAGATATTAACCATGAGTTGACCAGAGAAATACATCTGATATTTCCAGCAGTGCTGGGTGTCCATTTGACATTGGTGACCGAAGGTTATAGGATAAAATTCAGTGATAAAAAGAAATGAACTCAAACTATGAAAAGACACAAAGGAACCTTAAAGACATATTGCTAAGTTAAAGAAGCCACTCTGACAAAGCTACTTACTGTATGATTCCAACTATATAACATTCTGGAAAAGGCAAAATTCCAGAGACAGTAAAAAGTTCAGTGGTCACCAGGGATTCAGGAGGAAGAGGGGAGGGGTAAATAGACAGAGCACAGGGCATTTTAGGACAATGAGGCTATTCTCTGTGATCCTGTAATGGTGGACACATGATGTTATGCATTTGTGAAAACCCATAGGACTGTACAACACAACGAGTAAACCCTAATGTAAACTACGTACTATAGTTAATAATAATATACTTAAATTAGTTTATCAATTGTAACAAATGTACCACATGAATTTAAAATATTAATAATAAGAGACAGTATGCAGGTGGGAGAGGAGATATATAGGAACTCTGTATTTTCTGCACAATTTTCCTGTAAATCTACTCTTAAAAATAGTCTATTTTTAAAATGAATGAATGAATGAATAATTTATAGGATAATCATTGTCCCTGCTTGTGTGATACTCTCTATCTACCTGTCTCTGGGTAAGAAGGCACAACATATTTGAGATTGTCCAGAGTGTTGTGAAAAGACAGAGGTACACGTGATTTGGAAGTATTGACCAGAGTGCTACTGAAATTATGGACTGCTAAATCTAAGCTGGATAAAGACTTAGCTGAGCACAAGAGAGTGCTGCTAGCTGACAGGGAAATAAAGGAGCCAGGGGACTGGAAGTTCTGATGAGGTGGAAGAAAAGCCTTAGGAAGTAGTTAAACAAGAAGAGGGTATGGCTGTTGCCAACTGGGCTGTTTGAGTAAGTGGTTTTGAAGAGGGAGCCGTTGTGGATCAAGGTGTGTCTATGGAATGCGTGACTTTAGGTAGAATGGAGGTGAAAGTAACTGGAGAAGTGGAGCTTGAGGAACTGAGAGGCCAGATGTTGAAATCACTGAGGATGGCAGATCTCAGAGAAGAAAAAAAGACATGGTCAGGAGTCACCATTTTCGATGAATGAGAATAGCAGAAAAGTTGATGGATGACAGCGGTAAGGATGAGGATGGGGTAGAGTTAAATCTCGTGAACCTCAGAGGAGCAGATTTTTTTCCTCTTTTAACAAGAGGGAAGAGGAGCAATGGTCTGGAGGTGGCAACGAGGAGCAAGGAGGACACCAATTTTGCCTCCTGGTCCCAAGACATCTGGCTGTAATCTAGTAGTAGCCATCCCTTGAAGGGGGGATGGTGCCTTGGGGGAATGCCAGGCTCCACAAAAGGAAAGGAGGTGGAAGGAATGCTCAAGAAGATCTTGAGGATATGGGAAATGTGCTTTCTTATGCAGTGGTAGGAAAAGGTCCCAGTGGAAAGGTCAGCTCTCCTGGACTGTGATCCCCTTCCACCCCAATATATGACTGCTTTGTTATAGTAGTCACCAACAAAATCTTTCATATAAACATCTCCAGGAGACTCTTAGGTGTGCTTCTGGCTGCATGGTAGACCCAGGAGAGCCACACCGTTCACCATGCCTCATATGACATTACCTAAGAGTGGCCTTCTTGGCCTTAAAGTTACTATAGCCATGTGCCTCAGAGAAGCTAACCTGGCACAGGCGGCCTGGCTTCACCAGGTGTAGGGCTGAATGTCCTCCAGAGATCAACAGGAGGAATCTGGATAATCCCAAATGAAAGCCTCTGGGTTGTGGGAACCTGGGCCTGAACTTGGGCTCTGATCAGTAGAAATGGTGACATCTCCCAGGTGGATTGGGAAGTGCAGGCCCTGGCCCATGTTTTGTCTTGCACATATGTGGCTACTGTTAAGAAATATTGCCAGCCTGGGTGCCCTAATCAGAGCCAGTGCCATCCTGTCTGACCTGCACCTGCAGGATCGACTATGTTTGAACTCCTGTGCTAACTTCTGTTTCCTGTTAGATGTCACCTTTAGTTAGAGGCAGACATCCCTGGCTTCCAGTGGGATCCTTGTTGCCAAGCAGGGGGAGGGTTAGGCCCCACATGGAGACTGTAAGCTCAGAGCAAGGCTCATGGCTGAATCTGGAAAGTCTCCTATCCTCCACCTGGGGACAGTGAGCCCAGTGTGGACCAATTGTACATGGGCTGACTGTATATAGAATGTTCCTCAAGGTTATCACACACTTGCCCTTCGCTTTCCTGGATGGACAGAGGTTTCTCAGTGAGGGACCTTCACGTTCCCTAGGATTCTGTTCTTTCCCTTCCAGGGACAATAGAGGAAGGGCCCCACACCCAATGTTAATAACTTCTAGATACTAGAGTGAAGCAAGGAGTCCATGGGCAGTGCAGATGGGTAAGGTGCTCTGCTGCTAACTGAAAGCTTGGAAGTATGAGCCCACCCAGAGGCACTTCAGAAGAAAGCCCTGGTGATCTGCTTCTGAAAAAACAGCCATTGAAAACCCTGTGGAGCACAGTTCTACTCTGACACACCTGGGGTCGCTGTAAGTCAGATTTACTCAGTGACAAGTGGTTTGAGTGAAGGGAGATCTTCTCAGGGAGGCTGGATGTTCCCTGGGGGCTTCTGAGACCTTGCAGTTGGGAGCTGGGAAGGTAGGTTAAAAAACACACCCAAGCCTGGCCCACAAGTAGGGTTAATTATACCTGCCAGCAAAAGCTTGTGTTAATGGAAACAGAAAACACATGTAAAACACCAAGCCATTGCTTGCTTCTTAACACTCACCCAGAGCCTGCTGAGCACCAGACATGTAAACCTCTCAGTCTTCACATAAGCCAATGGTCATTTCCCCATTTTAGAGATGTGGAAACTGAGGAGCAGAGCTGTTAATCAATGAAGGCAGTCGTTCCAGACTTGCGTCCCTACCCACTGCACTCGGTCTCACCTCTCATACACTCCGGTCAGATTCAGCTGTCTCTTCTTCATGTGTCAGATCTCATCAGAGACCCAGGGACTAGTTTTCAGTCTGCTCCCTCAGGTTAGATATCACTTCCAGACCAACACTATATAAAACCAAAACCAAAAACCAAACTCATTGCCGTCAAGTCGATTCTGACTCTTAGTGACTCTATTGCCCCACAGGGTTTCCAAGGAGCGGCTGGTAGATTCGAACTGCCGACCTTCTGGTTAGCAGCCAAGCTCTTAACCTCTGCACCACTAGGGCTCCAACACTATATAGATACTCTAAACTTCATGGTTGTTTTATCAAGTGGATGAACAAGGGTGGCGGGAGCAGTCAGATGGGTTTTGCCATTAGCCGGAGGCAGGGCTTGGGGTGGCCCTCCATTGGCTCACACATCTGCCTGCTGGAACCTGGTCCAATGCAGAGGCCACCGCTTTTCTCTCCGGTACAGAGCAGCATCCTGAAGCACATGCCCCCTTGCTGTCTGTGCAGTGGGAGCCTGAGCCTGGGAGGGCCTGTGGTTTTCATGGGCTTTGGGTCTTGTTTCCAGGCTCTGGAAAGTGACTTTGTCAGCGCCAACCTTCACCAGTGGATAGACCTCATTTTTGGATACAAGCAGCAAGGCCCAGCTGCAGTGGAAGCTGTTAACACCTTCCACCCCTACTTCTATGGCGACAGGATGGACCTCAGCAGCATCAGAGACCCACTGATCAAAAGCACCATCCTGGGCTTTGTCAGCAACTTTGGACAAGTGCCCAAACAGGTACAGCATGTCACTTGTCTTGCTTTCTCAACAAGTGTATGCAGAGTGAACTTGCAGAGAGGGTAGGAGCATTTTCTTCTGGGATGGGGCAAGAGAGAAGACTGGAGAGGCAAAATGGTCTCTAGTTATTTCCCTATGCCTGAAGTGTTAGAGCTTTTCCTTCAATTGCCACTTGATGGCTATGAAGATGATGACATTATTAATGGTAATGATGAAGGCTACATTCATCTGTCACCTATGTGATAGGCACTATAAATGTTTTCTACATGGTATTTAATTCTTTACATGTGTATCTACTCTACAGGGTTGATGTGGAGACCCAATGAGTTAAGACATATTAAGTACTTGAAAGTATCTGAAATATAATTAAAACCAGTTGCCGTCTTGTCGATTCTGACACATGGCAACCCTGTGTGTGTCAGAGTAGAACGGTGCTCCGTAGGGTTTTCAATGACTAATTTTTCAGAAGTAGATTTCCAGGCCTTTCTTTTGAGTCACTTGTGGGTAGACTGGAACCTCCAGCCTTTCAGTTAGCAGCCAAGTGCGTTAACGATTTGCACCATCCAGGGACTCTGAAATATAACTAGCACTCAATATGTGTTACTTATTAGTATGACTAATTCATTGAGTCTTCTCATCAGCTCTGAGTATAGGAATTATTCTGCCTTTTACACATCAGAAAATGGAGGCCCAGAGAGGCTCAATAATAATGTGCCCAGAATTATACCATTAGCAAGGAGAGAGGCAGAGCTCTAGCCCCATCTGGCTGGCTCCAAAGCCAGCACTATATTGCTACAGATGCGAGACATCTAAGTTCTGCCCCTAGGTCCCTGGTGAACTGTTCGTTCCGCTGTCCACCTCCCATCAGGATTTGAGGTTGTGCATTCCTGCTGATGTCCTTATGAAACGTGTGGCTCTTATTCAACTCACCCCATCCGCTGTGTTGAACCCCAAACTTTGGTTTGCTTTGGTTTTGTTCCCACACACAGCCATCTGGGTTCAGAAGTGTGGCCCCACGGGCTGTAGTCCCCATCTGGCAGTTGTGAGCCTTGCTGGGAGAAGGGTGCATAAGCTTAGCCCTACTCCTTCCAGAGCAGTCCCAGGTCATGCCGTTCCCCACAGGCACCCACCAGGTTTGATGGGCGCAGAGCACAGCTCCTTTGCTGCCTGGCCTCAAGTTGCATGCTCAGGCCTGCTTGGCTCATGGCACGGGGACTACGAGAGGGCATGGGGGAGACCTGGAGAAGGGACAGCACAGACTAACGTGGGGTTACTCAGGGAAGGCTTTGTGGAAAGGAGAATTCAGGAAAGGAGGTTGGGCAGCCTAATGGTTTCATTTCTTTAATCAAATATATATCTGTATCAGTAGATAAAGCAATAAAACAACTCAAGGTATTAGTCACTGCCACCCACCTGTGCCTGCTTTTGGTGTATTCACAGTCCTTGTCCACAAGCAAAAATCTTTTCGCATCAGTGCAGTCATGGAGCACACACAGGTGTCTATTCTGGCATTACTTAATGGTGTATCCTGTGAGTTTCTTCAAGGTGTTTCTGAGTAATCATCAGAATTGCAATTCCCAAAGCGACCCTGTATGAGGACATGAGCACATGGCCGGAGGGCAGAGCGGTGTTCCGTCAGGGGCTGTGCCCGTGGCGAGCCTTTACAGGGGCCCAGCCTGCACGCGCTCTGGTCAGACTGCTCCGAGGAAGAGTGTTCTTTATTCAACGCTTGTTTGAAAACCATCACTGGCATTTCTGTTGGTATTGATCACGGCCCAGCTTTACAAGCGAGCCCGGTGTTTGAGCAAGGGCTGAGTGATGAGCTAGGCTGCTGCGAGCACAGAGGCTCAAGGTCCCAGACTTCCACGAGCCCCACCTCTGCCCCTGTGCCCAGCCAGGCCAGCTCTTCTCCCCATTGCCCTTCAGAGTGGCTGAGTGGGCATTTCTGTCTGGGATCTGGGAAATGTGCCGGCGGACGGAGAAGGCCGCAGTGGAGGAGCAGGGAGCAGAGGGCTGGAGCTGGCAGCAGCCGTGCCCTCTGGGACAGCAGCAAGAACTAGCCAGGCAGCGTGGCCGCGTGCTTCACGGTGCTTTCCCCAGTTATGCAGAAAGACTGGCATTAGGGACAGCTGAGGCAGAGATCTGAGAAAATGCGACAAAGAAAGGCCACTAATGGATCACCTGTCCTCCTTAGAATATTTGAATGGATGCTGTTAAAGAATTCTGTATTTATGTCCGGATGGATGAGCCTGCAGAGAGATTGTAAGGGAAGGGAAAAAAAAATACGTGAAACAGCTCAAGTAAATGAGGAAAGTCACATGATCTAAGGAGGGGAGAGGGCCACTGTGACTCAGTGATGTACAGGACAGTTCTCCAGGTCCCAGGGTCCACACTAGGTCTTCCTTTTCCCACCAGCTACAGGGAGGGGAAGGAGCTGCCCTGCTCTGAGCCCCAGGCCCCTGTCTATACTGAGTGTACGCTCCCCTCCATCGGGACAGACCCACCCAGTCAGCACTGAGAGTGACCGCGCAGCCGTGGTCTGCACTGGGAGGTTCCTCCCTGGGTGCTCATCCCTTAGTGACCTGTGTGCTGTGCATCTGTCCCCTTGCCCCCCAGCTCTTCACCAAACCCCACCCGACCAGGACTGCTGCAGGAAAGCTGTCACCTGGAAAGGATGTGAACACACCCACGGGCCTGCTGGGCCACGTCCAGCCATTTTTCTACAGCCTGCAGTCTCTGAGGCCCTCCCCGGTCATGGTCAAAGGTGAGTGCCTGGCCCTACTGGTTAGGTGCCCTGCCCACGGGGTCGTCCCTTGTGAATAGGCGTCTCTGGAGGCTCGGGAGCACAGACCTGGGGAAAGGACTGGGTTCTGACGTGGAATGGCTGTGTCTTCAGTCAGGCAGGAATCTGGGGACTCTTCTACTCTTGGAGGGGTTCTAGGGTCCACCTCTGTTAGATGACTTCAACATGTCTGGCTCTCCTAAATACGCACACGCACGTGCACACACACCTTCTCACGCCCAAAGATGAGAGGGAAGCCCCCAGATCTCCCAAGAGAGGGTCCAGCTCTGCTCCTTGGGTGGTACCTGTGGTCACCGTGGCTCGTAAGCACTCATTTCCGAGCATGCGCTCTGGGGCAGATGGCCCAGTGAGCCCCAGCCCTACTGTGTCCAGGTTGTGTGTGAGCCTCCGGGCACCAGGGCAGGGCAAAGTGAGGCCGTCCACACGTATGCCCAGTAGGGGCAATGCTCTGTGAACACCCTGGTCATCGGGCTGTCTCCTGTGGACTACAAGTCCAGTGCTTTATAACTGCCGCAGAGCGTGGAGAGGTCTGTAATGGCCAGAGGTCACCCAAGGAGGGCCCCCCCGGCCATATGGGGACAGCTGCCCAGGTGGGAGCAGAGGTGCTGTCAGGGCTGGCTCTCAGGGTCGTGGGTGTGGAGTCTGGGGGCTGTGCCACCCTGCGAAGTCCCACTAAGGGAGGACGACATGGGGATCCTAAGGAGCAGAAGGTCACATTTGTTGGGGGGGTTAGTTTGTCCTTTTCTTTCCTTGAATGTCTGTGCTGCATGGGGCTGTGACTCCTGGCTCTGGCGACCTTGCACCCATCTACCCCAGGGCTGGTGTCTCCAGCCACAGGTAAGGCTTGGGAGAGTCAGGTACGGCCCTGCCGTCTGAGCAGCAGTGGGGGAGACAGCAGCACAGGAGAGCTCCAGCGCCAGTCGGGAGAGCATCCCGGATGGTACAGGGTGAGCCTTCCCGGGACTCAGATTCCTCTTCTGTCACATGGGAGAGCAGTGCCGCGTCCTCAGACTTGCTGTGACAGCACTGTGAGGTGGCGTCTAACCTGGCACAAAGCCAGATCACAGACAGAAACCTTTCTGGGGCTGCTGTTGCCTGACCTGTGGGACACTGCTCTGAGCCTGGCCGCGCTTACTCTGCAGGAGAGGAAATGTCCCCTAGTCCAATTGTTGGAGTCTGAGCCCTGCCTCCTGGCTGGGGTGGGGTCAGGAGGAGACGGGCTCGCCCGCATCACCCAGCGCATGTCTGGGAGGAAGGGAGCCACCCCACTATGTGGTGCAGTAGGGTCGGGAGGAGACCAGCTCACCCGCATCACCTGGCGCAGGCCTGGGAGGAAGGGAGCCACCCCTCCTCACAAAAGCAGGGCAGCCTCCAGCTTTGGGGCCTCTCAGGACAGCCTCGGCTCTGGTGCCCCACACGCCTACTCTGTCTGTCAGTCCTCACAGCAGCCCTGCAAGAGGGTGTCATTATCTCCACAGACAGGGCACACCTACCAGGTGAAGGGACTTTCCTGGGATAACAGGGGCTGTCACCTGGGTCCTGGCCCAGGGGTGACTTTGAGAAAGGACAGGAATGCTGACCGGCCACAGGACACCCTTGTGGTTAGTGCAGGAGCGGCCGGCCTGGTCAAGGCCGTGAGGAGCAGGGTCCTGCGAGGGTGCCATCTGCTCTGGCATCATAGGAGGCACTGAGGGCCCACACGGCCAAACGCTCAGTGTGTGCCCACATCAGAGGGGGAGGCAGCGGGCCTTGGGGGCCTCATGCACCCCAGGAGGAGAGGCCCCAGTAGGAGAGGCCCTGCTGAGCTCCCCAGCCACGGGAAGGGCTTGGTCAAGGTCAGTCCACCTTCTCGGGGCTCCTCTGTCCTGGCCAGGGCCCAGCTAGGGTGGGTGTGTCCTGGCACATGAGCTCCACCATACTGACTGGGCGCAGATATGTACCTCTTCTCACTAGGCTCCGAATCCCCCAAGGGAGCCATCGGCCAAATCGTCCCCACCGAGAAGACCATCTTGGCGGTGGAGAGGAACAAGGTGCTGCTGCCTGACCTCAGCAACAGGACCTTCAGCTGGGGCTTCGACGACTTCAGCTGCTGCCTGGGCACCTACGGCTCTGACAAGGTGAGGCGGCACAGGGAGGGCGGCCCTCAGGACCCTCGGCGCCCTGCTGGGCGGAGGTGGTCACAGGGGCCACAGCTGCCCCACCCCTGCTGGCTCCATGCTGCCGTGCCCAGCCCTGGCCGTGAGTGTGCCTCTGACCCTGCAAAGGCCTTTGTCTCAGAGCCATGTCTCCAGGAGTCACACCTACAAGTCAGCAGTTCACTCTCTCACTTCCAAGGCAGGTCTCCTTGCTGGCTGGTTACTTGTCACATTGAGCCCACCCAGACCCTCCTCAGCCTGGGGGGCATCCTGGGGGCTTCTCCTGCCCAGTCCTAGCTTACAGAACAGATGCCAAGCATCCCACAAGACCCCAGGAGCCAGCCATCTGAGTACTTGTCCCCCCCTCCTTTAGGCCCCCTGCTGTCTCTGCCTGCTTCATGTGGCCTCTCCTCACCTCTCCAGCCTCCCCTCACACCCCCTACCTCTCATCCCACCACAAGTCCTGGCCCCGAACGCCCTCGCGCCCCCCACGCCCTCCCATCATCTTCAGGGGGCAGCTGTCAAGCCCAGACCCGGTGCTCCCTCCTCCTGAGAGCTGTCTCCGACCTCCCAGGCCTGGGGTCGGTCACCAGGGCCTGACCCAGCGCAGGTCTCAGCAGATGGATCCTGAACAAGTGTCACCGCACACAGGGCAGGACAGCGGCCTCCACGCCTGCCTGGGTCACTCTGTCCCGCCCCAGCCCTGCGCGGGCCCTGGACCAGTGCTCAGCTGCCTCTTCCCCCAGGTCCTGATGAAGTTTGAGAACCTGGCCGCCTGGGGCGGCTGCCTGTGTGCCGTGTGCCCGTCAGCCACGATGGTCATCACGTCGGGAGCCAGTGCCGCGGTGTGTGTGTGGGAGCTCTGCTCGGCCAGAGGCCAGGCGGGACTGTGCCTCAGGCAGGTACGGCCCGCCCTCAGGCGCAGGAGAGCAGCCAGGGTCTGGGGGCAGGCACGGCGACCCAGGGACAGGGCCGCCTTCGTTCTTCTCAAGGGGGATTTGACAAGCACACAGAGTGGGTGCCTCCCCCAGGACACCCTCAATGGGAGATTCCAGGCCGCATTCGGCTTGTCCCTTTCACACATGGGGATGATGCACCATACAATATTTTTGAGCATTTGCCATGAGCTGGACATTGTACCAAGCACTGTTAGGTGGGTTCTCTCATTATATCTTCTCAGCCTGCACTGTTAACCGCTTGCCGTCAAGACAGGACAGAGTAAAACTCCCCCCTAGGGTTTCCAAGGCTGTAATCTTTACTGAAGCAGACTGCCACATCTTTCTCCTGTGTAGCAGCTGGTGGGTTCAAACTGCTGACCTTCCAGTTAGCAGCCGAGTGGGCTCCTTTACCTTCTCAGCAGCTCTATAAAATAGGTACTATTGTTATCCCTGCATTATAGGTGAGCAAGGCACAAGGAAGGTAAGTGACTCGTCCAAGATCATATAGCAGAAAATGAAAGACTGACTCAGAATGGAAGTGGCAGAGCACAAATGGCCATCCAGGAGGCAAGGAGCTCGTCCTCATCCTACCTCATAAGCCACCACTCATGATAATAGCCACAGTGATACCTGCTGTTCACTTAACACCCGGAACACGCCAGGATCTTACACCTCATGCTGAGTCACCACCCGGCTGTCGGTGGAGGCTTCCGTGTTGCCATGATACTGAACTGGTTTCAGCGGAGCTGCCAGACTAAGATGGACTAGAAAGAAAGGCCTGGTGATCTACTTTTGAAAATCAGCCAGTGAAACCCCTATGGAGCATAATAGTCTGACCCACAACCTGTCAGTAGGACTGGCACAGCATTGGCAGAGTGTCCGTCTGTGGGGCGTGGGGTAGCTGTGAGCCAGGGGCCTGCGAGACAGCAGCTGACAGCAACAACAACAAAGCAGCTGTTGTACCCGCTTTCGGAAGAGAAAACGGGCTCAGAAAAGTTTCAGTGAGTTTAACCCTGTGCTGTCTCTCTGTGTACTCTTGAACTTGCCCTAAGATATCTTTAGGATGCTTCCAACTCTAAATACAATTCATTTTTACTTCTGATTTTTAGTTAGCCATGTAGCCCCCCAAATCAGAATAAACCCTACAAAAATCACCACTGATGAGATTGTTCTAAATGGAAATGTTTCACTGGACTGGCTAGGTTCTCTGAATGATTTCCAAGTCTCTCCTTGTCTCCTCTGAGCTGGCCCCTGCACGTGGGCACTCCCAAGTTAAATGAACAAAAGGTCCATTGTGAGGGAGGAGGTTTCCCATTGCCCCCTGGAGGCTTCCTTGCTGCTTTGGGCTTGTTTTATTTTATTTTTGGCCTAAATGGAGAGAGGAGTCCCTAGGTTGTACGAACAGTTAATGCACTCAGCTGCTAACTGAAAAGCTAGAAGTTTGAGTCCATCTAGAGGTGCCTCAGCAGAAAGGCCTGGTGATCTACATCCAAAAATTTAGCCATTGAAAACCCTATTGAGCACAGTTATGCTCTAATACACATGGGGTCACTGTGAGCTGGTTAAAGTGGAGAGACTGCATGGCCTTCCTGCGAGGTTTCTCCTCTCTGAGGCAGGGCATTTAGACTCCCTGTGCCGTGGCCTGGAGGAGCCTCCCACCGCTGCCCCATGCCTCGCTCAGAAGTGAAGATGCTGTGTAAAAGCTTCCATATTGATGCCATAAAATATAATTTATCACTGTCTCCCGGGTCCAAATCAAGAGAAGAAGGTCTGGGGAATCCCACATGCTCTTAGCTCCAGACAAAATAAAACACTTTATCATCTACCCATGGAGCCTGATGTGGCCTTGACGACTCTCAGCAAGGGGGCCCTTCCTGAACTACAGTCAGAGAAGCCGTCATTAAATAGGCTTGAAAAATCTTTGAAAAGTGTTTTATTTTTAAAGGTACTACACGACTAAAGAAAAATTTCAAATTCACTTCAAAATAGAATAATTCCCTATACTGCATCCCCAAATATACATATTTATGCCATTCTAATCATTATGTACAAATTTTTCCTCCGCTGTTTTCACCTAGCCTGTCAAACTGTTTCCATTTGCCTGCAGTCTCTGTAATTTACGTTTCAATTATTCTGTATTACTCCATTCCTCTAAAATTACATTTCAATTTTTCTGTTATGTCAATACACCACAGTCTAATAAACCGTTTCTTCTAAAACTAGACAATTAAGTTGTTTCCAAGTTTTAACTATTTTAAATAGTGCTGTGGAAAACATCTTATATAAATTGTTGTTTGCTTCTGATTAATTGTTTCCTTAAGATAAATTTTAAGAAGTAGAATTACTGAGTAGTGGCATAATGCTTTTCAGAATCATTCTGTAGCTTCACAGTGCCACCAGCAATTCAGAGTACCATTCTCCTCACAGTGAAACCAGCACTGGGAATTATTTTCAGAGATTTTATTTTATTTTATGTTTTGCTACTTTAGTTAGGTGTAAGATAAGATAATGAAGTTATCTTATTGACCTTGTAGAGAAGCATTATTCTGAAAAAAGAGCCAGTCGAGAACAGATTTAAAACTACTTCCTCCAAAACCCTGTGAATCGCAACAGAATATTGTCCAATATAGTGCTGGTAGATAAGCCTTCTAGGTTGGAAGGTACTCGGAATACACAGTGGCCACAGTGGGCTCCAGCATACCAGTGATCATGAAGATGGTGCAGGGCTGGGCCGCGTTTCATTCTGTTGTATAGGGAGTCACCGGGAGCCGGAGCCAGCTCGAAGGCACTGACAACAATTTGTCTTGACTCCTAAGGCGCTAAGACAGTTTTCACAGTGTGGCACCCGACCAAGCACATCACCTAGGAGCCTGTTAAACATGTGCCCCCTTGGGTCCTACCCAAGACCTTTGGGGTCAGAAGCTCAGGGAGTGGGGGGCCAGCAATAGGGTGGCAATGCTCAAGTTTGAGAACCCTCCCACATTAAGGGAGCCTCAGAAACACACCAGTCCCTGGAAGCTAAACCATGAAGAAGACTGGGAAATCATGTCACAAGTAAAAAGATTCAACTTTTGAAGTAGATGGGCCCAGGTTCATAGCCAGCCTGGCCACATGGCAGCGGAGTGACAGGGCCTTGGGCCTGACCCTCAGAGTTTGGCTTCTGCGGGGTCTGGCCTGGCCCTGTATGGTTGTGTGTCCAGGTCTGGCTGAAGGATGTCTCCCTGTGGATGCATCCCAGAGGGGCTGGGGAAGCCTGCCAGACCCCCTGGTACCCCAGGCCCACTGCTGCTAGTAACGGCAGTCTCCATCACAACTAGCCGAGGCTACCAGCTGAGCCCAGTCTGAGGCCCTGTGTGCACACACGCAGCTTTTGACTCTGGAATCAGCCAGAGAGGTGGCGGAGATGGCTTTTGGAAACACGATCCAGCTGGCTTCCTAGTGGTAAATCTCGGCCCCCAGGACAGACACGCCGCCCACTCATTTGGGCTGGGGAGACTGAGCGTCATTCTTCAAAGCTGTCACTTTGCCCCGTCACAGCAGTAAAGAGTTCTACAAGGACTCTGGCTTGTCCGCCTGGGTCCTGAAGTGTCACCAAGCAGATGGTGCTGGCAAGCTTCTGGGCATCACCCACGGAAGAAGATTTGGGACGTCTTCAGAAAATGGAAGCTGCCTAAGTGAACTGATGAAAGCAGAGGATTTGACAGGAGCTTTCTGATTCTCTTCCCAGAGTGAGCTTCCCAGAACTGACAAATCCGTTATGACCGCAGGAGACAGGGTGACTCCCAGGAGTGTAGGGAAGGGGACCTGGCACAGGGGCTGGGGATGCAGAGAGAGAGAGATGTTCTGAGTCAAAATGCCTACATGGGCTGTTCATTAGTGCAACTGAGCCTGCAGGAGTGAGGGGACCGGCGTGTGGTGTGCGCACTGCCTACCTACGGAAGGCGTGTTGTCTTCAGACTAGCTAGAAACCAGAATGTGCCAAGGTATCCAGGACCCCACCATCCTGAAAGGCAGAGGAAGTCAATAAAGGGATGGTTGTTAGTTGCCATGGCAACCTTATGGCCAACAGAAGGAAACACTGCCTGGTCCTGCACCATCTTCCTCATCATTGCTGTGCTCAGTCCATTGTTGCTGCCACTGTGTATTTTGAGTGCCTTCCAGCACCATGTCCGACAATACTCTGCTGTATCCATAAGGTCTTCATTGGCTGATTTTTGAAAGTAGATCACCAGCCTTTTCTTCCTAGTCTGCCTTAGTCTTAGTCTGGAAGCTCTGCTGAAACCCATCCACCATGAGTGACCCTGCTGCTATTGGTAATATTAGTGGCACAGCTTCCAGCATCATAACAGCATGCAAGCCACCACAGTATGACAACTGACAGATGGGTGGTGGCAAGACAAATGAGGGGAGTACAAAGCATAAGAAGGGTGCTGGTGTCCACTTGGCTATGGTAAAAAGAGCTACTGATCATCCTCAGCTGGGCCTCAGACCCTGGAAGTAGATGGAACTGACAGGCCAGACATGGACAACCGCACACACACGCACACACGTATGCACATGCACACAGGCTTTGGAATGACTGAGTGTCTCTAAATCTCCGTTTCTTCATCTGGGACCCAGCAGTAAAAGAAGGGCAGGGTCATCCCCCAGTCGCTGAATTGAGGGGCCTCTCTCATAACTGGTATCTCCTGTCCCCAGGCCTTGTATGGGCACACGAAGGCTGTCACGTGCCTGGCGGCATCCATCACCTTCAGCCTCCTGGTGAGTGGTTCCCAGGACCGCACCTGCATCTTGTGGGACCTGGACCACCTCACCCACGTGGCCCGCCTGCCCGCCCACCGGGAGGGCATCTCCGCCATTGCCATCAGTGACGTCTCGGTGAGACCGTGCTTTCTCAGTGTTTGTGTCCTGGTGTCTGTGAGCCAGCACCATAGACAACTTCCTGAGGGAAAGCCCAGGGGCAGGGAGGCACTAAGCGCCCGGGATGCTGAGCAGGCCCCACATATGTGGCACACCCCCTCTGGGGGCTGAGTGCAGCCATCAGCGCGGGTAGCGCTGGGTCTAGCTCTTGTTTCTGCGGGGGCTGTGGGAGGAGCCTGTGCCAGGATGGCCACCAGGGAGTAGGGACAGGAAGATCTGGCTTTGCTGAGGCTCTGCCTGGGCTTGGCTCGTTGACTGTAAATCAGTGTTGGCTTCGCAGGTACCTCTTACCACCATGGCAAGAAGGATCTCTGCTTGTCCATTCATGTTGGATATCAAAGATGGGACGTGTGTGTGTGTGTGTGTGTGTGTGTGTGTGTGTGTGTGTGTGAGAGAGAGAGAGAGAGAGACAGAAAGAGAGAGAATGGGAAAGGCTTCTTGACTTGGAGACCCCCCACCCCCCACTCTGCCATGAGGTGAGGGGCAGATGATAGAAAGAGCATTTATGGACTTTGGAGATTCATGGGTCTGATTTCCAGTTTCAACTGTGCTACTTACTATCTGTAGGACCTGGGGCATCTTACCTGTCCGGGCTATAAATGGGACTGTAATATCTACACCACAGGGTTTTTTGTTGAGATTAAAGAGATAATACATATAAAGGGCCTGGTGTGTTTATGCACTCATGTCTCATCTCATTCTGCAAAAGATGTGAGATAGCATTGCCTGCACAGAGTAGGTTCTCATCAATGGTAGCTGTCACTATCACACTTGCTGTTTTTCGCTGTGGAAATTCTCTCAAGCTGGGTGCTCCATCTTGGGGCATGGGGTTCCCTGAGGATGCTACATCTGCTCATAGAAAACCCCAGGGACCCAGGGCATGGATAGAGTGGGTAGGAAGGGCCTCATAGGTGGAAAAGGCAAAAGATGTGTCCCAGGTAGGCTTGAATCCAGGGTGAATACTGGATGGATGGGTGGATGGATGGATAAGTAACTAGGTGGATGGGTAGATGGATTTATGGGTAGATTAGTGCATTGGTAAGTGAATGAGTGGATTGGAGGATGGATGGATGGATGGTGGTGAATGGATAGATGGGTAGGTCTATTGGGGAAGACACCAAGGCTTGATCTGGGAGAACGTAAGGAATTGTGTCCTGAGACCTCAGAGAAGTCTGGCACCAGGACAGGTTCTCCTGGAGCCAACTGAGTTAAGTGACTGCTGGGCCCAGTGCTGGGTGCTGGGCACAGAGGTGATCAGACATGGGCCCTGGCCTCAAGCTGACTATACCAAACAATTCAGGAAGTACCATGTTGGATGGCCTAGAGGTCTGGGGAAGCCCACAAAAGGGACACTGAGCTCCCTCCCCATATCGGCATGGCCCCAGCTGGCTCTGTGGGTCCTTGGTGACAGTGGCCACTACTCCATTGGGTACGACATAGACAAGGACTTGAGCAATGATTCTAGACAAGAGCTCTCAGGATACAGTGGGGATATGCTCCTCAGGAACATGCCCAAGTTTATGAGCTACTTGCAGCTATCTGAGCCTCTGCTCTGCCTTCCACTAGAGAAGCCTAAAGCTTCTTCATGAGGGCAAGGCTGGCTGGCCAGGTGCAGGCCCAGTGTCCAGAGCCAAGGGCAGTCTCCATTCTGGTCTTCTATGCCATTCAGTATCTGGCCAGGGTGAGTTTTGTGGAAGGAGCTCATAGGGTGAGCCACTTAGTGTCTGCTGGGAAAAGAAGTATCCGAAGACATGATCACAGTTTGAAAAAGAGTTTGCAGTTGGCTGAAAACATGGCTGACCTACGAGTCAGCTTGGAAGAAGTGAGTGCCTTGGAGAGTCCTGGGGTACTTGGGTTCGGAGGATGGCAGGTTGGGGTGTTCGGGTGTGCAAACTTGTGACTAAGTAGGTATCAGAGGGACAGGCAATGACTCCAGCTTGCACTGCACAGGGCACCATTGTCTCCTGCGCTGCCGCCCACCTGTCTCTGTGGACTGTCAATGGACAGCCCCTGGCTAGCGTTGCTACAGCCTGGGGCCCCGAGGGAGCCATAACCTGCTGCTGCGTGATGGAGGGGCCAGCAGGGGACACCAGCCATGGCATCATCACGGGGAGTCGCGACGGCATAGTCCGGGTAGGTGTGTCTTGGGCAGACCTGGGTCATGGTACTAGAAATGGGTTGAACTCCATTCTGCTCACTTCCTCCAGGGGTCCGAGTCTGCAGGTACACATTTGAGGCCATTCCAGACCGGGTGCCTACAGCAAGTGAGGGCAAGGCAAGGCGTTTAAGCCAAGGCTGGGCCCTGTCCTCCAGACTCAGAGCACATGAGAAGCTGTGCAGAGAGGCACTGACAAGCAGGCCTACCAGGGGGCTGGGCATGGGAGGGGGGCCACGGCTGAGTGGGCTTCCCGGGGATGGTGGCAGGGAGGGCGGGGGAGCACTAGCTAGGGAAATACTAATGAACTAGCCACTGGTTTCATCCTGCAGGTCAGGGCAGGAAAGATGCACTAACAGATGTAGGGATGGGGAGCTGAACTCCTCCAAGCTGCAATTTTGATCAGCCGAAGCCTTCACAAAGGGAAACTGAAGCCTAAGTAACGCTTTTTCCTGAGAATAAATCAGCACCAGAAGTAAAACTGGGGCCAAGCCCCACCTCTCCCCTCAGGGTCTACTTGCTTCCCCAGCCCAAGGCATTGTCTCTTTTTGAACAGATTTGGAAGACTGAGGACGTGAAGATGTCTGCTTCACAGCACACAGTGGCAGAGGAGCCCTCAGCTCAGCCTCCAAGCCCCAGAGGTACCTGCCCATTAGGGGTGCAGCCTGCCCTGGCCTGTCCCTCCCTTCCCCCTCTGCCCTCAGCCCCAGGCTGCTGTAGCTCCACCAGGCCTGTGGGGCCCAAAGAAGCTGAGCAGCTCTTGGGATTGCAGCCAGGTTTTCGGAGGGGAAGGGGGTGAGGCCTGGACTGGGAGCTGCTGGTGGAATGTGAAGCAGGTGGAGAAGCCGTGTTGAGTCCCGGGCCTCCACATGCTCTGTGATGCTCCTTGGTGAGGGACAGGGGCCCTCGTGGTTCTTGGGGGCTCCTGAGCTTCAGGAGGGGGAGCTCTCTTATCTGCCGGGATGACTTGCAAATGCCAAACTCCCTCTGTCGGCCTGGACAGCTGGGCTGCAGACAGGAACAAAGGAAGGACTCTGCTGTGTGCCCAGAGAAGAGGAAGCGGCCCCACCCTGCCCCAGCCTGCCACCTAGACCCTGGCTTAACCACACAACTCCCTGTTGAGAGAGCCTGAGCATCGTCTGCAACAGAGTCACTAGGATACTTACTAAAAATGTAGATCCCGGGTCCTGTTCCTCAACCCAACCCGCTGAAAAAGGATTTTGGCAGTGGGGGAGGGGATTATAGGTCTGCCAGGCTCCCCAGGTGGCTATTGGTGCGCACCAGAGTAAGAGATCCACATTCTGAAGAAGGCCCCCTTTCGGTTGTACCAGATGGGACCGAAGTGAGAAAATCTGTCCCACCTTCTGCCAGCACAGCCCCTGCCCCCACCACCACCATGACCACCATTTAGGCACCACAGCGGCAGAGGGCTGAGTGCGAGCAAGCTCCATGCACAGCGTTGTACATGCATTCCTTACTTCTCGCAGCAACCTGACAAGGTCGATGTTACATTACACCCGTATGACAGATGAGAAGACTGAGGCACAGAGGGGTTCAGTAACATGCCCAAAAGTACCCAGCAAGTATACCACTACTGTCATTGCCACTACTGCCACCATAACAGCCACAGCCAAAATGATCTTCCCCACAGATAATGCCGCTGCTACCATAATCACCACCGCATCCACCGTAATCACCGCCAAAGCTGTCCCCTCCTCGGTTATTGCCACAGCTGCCATCAGGGTGCCCACCATCACCCTCACCTTCTCCAGTACAGCCAACCTTCCGTCTAAGCTTCGTCATCCCCGGAGATTGTCTCCTGCTCTTTGGCCCAGAGCTGAGACATCTTTCCTGGGTCCCATAATTAAAAGATGTGTTAATATGGAATGAGGAGTCTCCTGCGATGCAGCCTTCTGGTAGCCCCATTTGTTCTGCATTCTGGAACCTGTTATCGTCCACAGGAGAGAATTTCCCGGATTGCTGGAGGCTGCCTTCTGATGAGAGAAACCATCTTCAGTCAGCAAATTTCTAAAATGCATCGCACACTCCTTGACTCACTGAGCCCTTCACTCACGACCTCCCCCTCCATGTGAGCGGGCACTGGCGGCCTTTCCTCTGTGGCAGGGCCTGTGTTCTCCTTGGGAACCCCTGCCTGCAAGAGATCACCATCCAGGGGCCCTCCTCAACAGCCTGGGCTGACCCAGAGCAATGACCCACAAGCGTCTACAACTGCATCCAGCCACAGTCCACTGCTCCTCATAGCTCTAGGATACTTTGGGACCAGGGCATTGGTGGTTCAGTGGTAGAATTTTTGCTTTCCATGCGGGAGACCTGGGTTTGATTCCTGGCCAGTGTACCTCATGTACAGCCACTAACTCTCTGTCAGTGGAGGCTTGTGTGTTACTATGATGTCCCTATGATGAGGCTTGCTATGATGCTATGGAGCTTCCAGACTAAGGGACTAGGAAGAAAGGCCTGGTGATCTACTTTGAAAATCAGCCAATGAAAGCCCTATGATCACAGTGGTCCGATCTACAGCCA